TTGTTAATGTAGGCATTTTTTCCAGAAAAACGTTTTGCTTTACTTTTTTCTTTTTGTTTAATTTACGATTGGCTTTTTCATTTGTAGTCGATGACTAGCCATGCCTTCCTAGTATTATATTTTTAAAAAAAAAAATTAGTATTAGGAAGTAAAGATTATCTTACCAGTTACTGTAGAAATTAAAAATATAATATGCTAATAACATATTAAATAAATATGCCGAAACTTAGAAATAGCAAACTAGAAGAATTAATTAAATCCAGTTCTCGGAAGTGAGAAATAGCATACTAGAAGAATTAGTTAAATCCAGTTCCAAAACGGGCCAACCAGCGGCCGAGCGGTAACGTCGCTGAACAGTGGTATTTCGGTTCGAGGTTCGAATCCCGCGAACGGGCTGGATGCATAGGTATTTTCGTGCTTTTTCCCATGTGTAACGTGTATACGAGCCAGTTTCCCTCAAAAGGTCCTCCACAAAGGCATACCTCCCTTATGGCAGATAGCCCTCGAGTGCTTTGCCGTAATCTAATAAACTAAACCAAACCAGTTCCCGAAACTGAGAAAAATCAGACTAGAAGAATTAATTAAATCCACTTCTTGGAATTGAGAAATAGTAAACTAGAAAATTTAGTTAAATCCAGTTCTCGGTAGAGAAAATGTGCTCAGTATCAGTTTGTTACAGTATGATTAGAGGGCGCCTTAATTTTGATTGGCTAGCTGGTAAATTCGCCATGACCCTCATTCTTGAAAGAGGCAAAAGGAAATTGTAGAGATGCATTGCAAGCGGGACGGGTGACTGCCCGGAGCGCCAAATAATAATAAAAGAAAGAAAGAAAAAGCAGTACATATTGTCTTTGCAGGTCTGAGCTAATCCTATCACAAGCAAATCCCCTAAAACGCCAAAACTTCTTCAGTGTTATTATTATTATTATTGATTACAATAAATAAAAATTTCTTAGCGAAAATAAGTAATCACACAATTAGATATATAAGTTATAATAATTTTAGTACTGTATACATATACAGTGTGAACAAACGCATGTATTAAAAGTAGATAATTTAGTATATGTATATGGAATACACACACACACACACATATATATATATATATATATATATAATTAGAAAACTTTCCTTGTATCATCTCCAAGGAACAGAAATTCAATTAAAATCATGAATTATTATTATAAGAAAACGTTTTTCAGTCAGTATTTTAATTAGTATTTTAAATTGGCCTTTTCTAGACCTCTGTTGCTTTAAAAATATAAAAATCTGTAAAGTCCTTAATAGCAAAAATACCAAAAGTAAATTTTTTTAAGTATTGAAAAAGTATCTATTTTTGATTAATTGACTTGTAAAAGGAGCAAACCAATCTACTATCAATTAACAACAACTTAATTAAGTGAGCGTGTTTCGTCTTTCTTCCAAGTAAGGATCAAATATATTTCAGCTAGAGCCAAATCGTAATCCATTCCAGTTCTTCCTAACGTTTTTTAAATGCTATTAACTTAGTTTTTCATGTTTCATTAGTATTTTTGTGGACAGATAGCGCAATTTCTCAGTTTGTTTCACTGTTTGGCATTTGGTGTAAAAATAGCTATCTTCTTTTCGCCTGATGATGAGGGACCTGTTGCTCTCGAAATCAATAAACTTTTGGTTAAAATATACGCCCCACAGAAAGTTGTTTTGCTTAATTTTATTTAAATAAGATAGTAGTCTGAAAAATACCCTGCCACTTTTCTTTATTTTCTGTCCATAGATATACCTTTAAAAAGACTAAAAGCTCATGTGATCGAAACAAATGCGGGAAAACGGGGAAAGGAAACTCAGAATACAAAAATTGTTATCAAAACAAACAATCATTGCACCAGAGATTTTGGGCAGTAATTAATAGCTTAGTTTAGCACGCATAATTTAAGTTAAGAACCGCAAGCAGAGATCGTACCTTTTTAAAATGCAAAAACTGCATCAAAATAAACAATCATTGTAGCAGAGATTTTGCGCAGTAATTAATAGTTTAGTTTCGCACGGAGAGTTTAAGTCAAAAATAGCAAGCAGAGATTGTACCTTAAATTATGAAATAAATTCATTATATACAAAATAGCCTATCAAATTTATATATATATATATAAATTTCCCAGTGCAAGTTATAAAATTAGTAATGATGCATGTGCGCCACATCAAAGGTCATATGAATTCCTAATACGGTGATATTCAGATCCACGCCTCTCTGCTTGGATTAATTTTCAAGAATCCCTGTCATATTTACGGATCATAGATTTCTGTTGAAAAATATCTGTTTATAAATTTTCTTACCACACTTTTGGTGAGCAGTCCACTGCTTCAGGCGACTAGTGATTAGAATCATTCTTATGTTAACCAACAAGATGCGATTTTGAAAAAGATTTTGACAAAAGATTTCGTCGGCTTGTTTAGTATATGCGTGTACTACGGAATATCTTGCACAGCGGTAACTTTGAAGAATGAAAGTCTGGCTAAGGGAATTAATTTGTTTCTCACGAGGCTTAAGTTCTTACTTCACGCTGACAACAAATGCATCATTTAAAGACATAATATACGAAGAAAGAGCAGTATTCTGTGACAGTTTTTTCTGAAATCGTTATGCTGCACTTGCAAAGCTACGACAGTCGAATACATGATCAAATTCAAAGTTTCACATCAAGGTTATTTGAGGATTATTGATAAAAAATATCTCCGACAAGACGAAAGACAATGATGTATTTGTAAAATTAAGCTATAGATAAAAAAGAAACAAAAATCAACAGATTAATGTATATTTAAATCTAATACTGTTGATTTCAAAGAAGAACCGTTAATATTCCTTTTTATTTACATTTTTGTGTATTTCCTTGTATGTAACATTAATACGAGTTAGTTTCCTTTCAAAAAGTTTCCACGAAGGCATCCTTTCTTGACAGATAGTACTCGCATCCTTGTTCTTAGTTAAAACTATTAACACTTGTCTTTAGGAAGAGACTTGTGTTAGGTGGCCCTCTAAATAGAGTTCTAATCCCATTAAACGATCTATTTTCATGAGTATTTTTGTTGTTTTCTCCATGTATATTGTGAACACAAGCCAGGTCCCCTTAAATATTCTTCCGGAGGTGTTCATCGCTTTTCAGAGAATGCTCGTGTGGTCATCGTGTGCTTTGCTGGCTTCCAAATAAGCATTTTTTATCACAATCATTATTTTAAATTGTGACATAAGTGACAACGAATTCACTTTTTAACATTTCAATAAATAGTTTTAGGTACCCCTCGACGTGATTAGATAAATTAAAGCGCTATATTCTCCTAGCAATAAGTCAAGGCCATGAGGTACTATTTATGCAAGGCGCTCGGAAAATATCAGGCAAAATTTAAAACGTGATACAGGAGACGAAAATGAGCACTTTTTTGTCACAGAATGCCAGTCCGGATGATGCGTTTAAGCATTCTTGACGAAGAAAATTGTAAATAGTGAAAGAAGGGTAATACAAAGGAGAGATAACAAAGTGTTTAAGAGCTCATTAAAATAGATGCTCAAACGATTGACTACAAATACGAGCACAAGCTTCAAACCGTCGGCGCATGGATAACCGTGCATTTTCGAAGAGGTCTGGCATGACCCTACTATTACAGTAGCAAAAGACAGTTTGATGACAAGATATTGTCCGGAATCAATGGGATTATCGTAAAAAATGTTTTTTCAAATGCCGCCTGAAAGAAATCCAAACATGACAAATCTGGTGATTGGGGTGGCCAATAAATAAGATCATCTCGACCTATTTAGCGGTTTACACCGGTCTCGAAAAGTGCATTGGGTGAGTGAGTGAGTGATGTTTTTGGCGCAAAACCAAAGATGGTTATGACGCGCCAAACACAGGATGGGATGATTACAAATGACGAAATTAAAATACAATAAATAAAAACAGGTGGACAAATGTATCAAATCCAGAGGATGAAGTCATATAAAAACAAGGTAAAAGCACACAATAAAATCCAAAACACAATCTTCAAAATATATTACATTAGATAGTAAAATCCAGTCTCTTTTAAATAATAAAATAAATTACGATTAGCCTCTCTTCCGATTAAACGGTCGAGAGGTAAGTGACAGCTATTAAAATATTTCTGACGAAGACTATTAAAATATGGACATTCAATTAAAATATGACGGACAGATAGACAATTTGAACAAACAGGCTCATTCTCAGCTTTTAAAAAGTAGCTATGTGTGACTCCAGTGTGACCAATTCTGAGGCGAGTCAAAAGAACTTCTTCTTTACGATTTCCAGCAATATCCCAATGCTCAATTCTAGGCTTTACATTTCTTAACTTGTTTTGAGTCTAAACATCCCAAAGAAAAGTGCATTGGGAAAGGATGCCTTTATTCTCAGACGTAATATAGTGCCAAAACATTCTCCATCTACTGTTAGTTTAACGTTTCATTTCCGGACACACGTACTATAAAAAAAAAAAAAATGTTTATTTCGATTATTTCTACAACCCTATTATAATTTTGCCAGCTATTTTCCGAGTGCCCCGTATATCCCATATTGCTTTACCATATTGCAAGCAGTTGTTCCTCAGTCCAAAGCCGCACGGGTAGTGGAGAGCTTTCCGGCAACGGCGTCGAATTACCCGAAAGCAATCGCCCAGCTTCGAGAGAGGTTTGGAAGAGAAGACTTAGTTGTACAGATATACGTCAGAGATCTTCTAAGCATGGTTATGCGTAATGCAAGCAGTGGACGTGTGAAGACGGATCTTCCCACTCTCTACGATGATTTAGAAACCAAGATTAGAGCTTTAGAAAGTCTTGGAAGAACGCAAGAGAAGTATGGTGATTTCTTAACGCCTTTAGTTGAATCCTGCCTGCCCGAAGAAGTATTAATTGCTTGGGAGAGAAACAGAAATTTAAAAGAAGCACCTCAGCCTGATGACCGATGCCTTGAAAATGATTTGATGATTTTTCTGAAACAAAAGAAGTGAAAGGAGAAGAGATGGTCGTGTTAGCCCGCACTGGGTTTGGTTCTAATCATATTTCTAAGAAAAAGGATACACTAAATAAAAATTTAGATTTGCCACCGCAGCTGCGTTAGTAAGTACATCAAATTCTGAGAGCCCAGGTAAGCGCAATTTTAACTGTCTCTTTTGTGAAAAACGGCACCCAACTAAAGAATGTTTTTTCTGCTAGAAATATGACATTAGAAGCTAAGAAAAATATATATTAATTAAAAGAGGGGGCCTGTTTTGGATGTTTCAGATTTGGACACACTTTTAAAAACATGTCGAGTAAAAAATTCTTGCATGTACTGTAATAAAATCACCATTCTTTAATGTGTCCCGAATCGCCAAGAAAAAAGCGCAAATGAAAAGTCTAAAAGACGTAACTGAAACCAGTACATTAACTAATAACTGTAAAATAGAAAATGTTTATTTAATGACTCTAATAGTTAAAATTAAATTTAAGAATGTTGAGCTTAAAGTACGCACATTACTGGATACAGGTTCTCAGCATTCGTTTGTCAGTAAAAAATTAGTAGAGAATTTAAATTTAAAACCATTAAGGCAAATTAAATTGAAGCATTCGTTATTCGGTGGAAGAGAAACGCGAACGCAGATTCACGATGTTTATAATTTGTTGATTTCGGCATTAGATGGTGGTGTATTTAATTATGGCAAAGCACACTAGGGCTATCTGCCTAAGGGGAAGGATGCCTATCGTGGAGACTTTCTAAGGGAAACTGGCTCGTATCACGTTACACATGGGAAACGAAAACGCCCATGCAGCCAGCCCGTTCGCGGGATTCGAACCTCGGACCGAACTACCAGTGTTCAGCGACTTTACCGCTCGGCCGCTGGTGGGCCTATTTCGGCATTAGATGAAACTTTCTCCTTTCAAATCGAAGCACTTTCCGAGAGCAAAATTTGTGGCACAGTGCCAAAAGTGAACGATAGTAAAATTATTAATGAACTGAAAGATATAGGCGTCAGTTTGTCTGATTTGGGTTCTTCTGATCGTGAGATTGATCTGCTTTTGGGAGCGGATATTGTGGGCGCTTTATTTGCTAATAAATCTGTTCGGTTGGAGTCAGGGTTATTTTTGATTGACACTTGTTTGGGACATGTGTTAACTGGGAAGCATGAGTCATTTGGAGATAGCAATGATGATACTGTTTTGAATGCAATTTCGTTGTATGTTAGTAATTATTCGATAAAAGATTTGTGGTCTTTAGAATCCATAGGTATTTCAGATCCCATTGAAAATAATAGAAAGAATTTAGAACATTCTAGAGTTTTGGAAGAGTTTAAAAATAATGTGAAAATTCTTTCAGACGGTAGATATGAACTTTGTTTACCTTTTAAATCTGATGTGGCCGATTTGCCGACAAATAAAGATTTAACTTGGAAGCGGCATAAAAGGATGTGCCAGCGAGCACAAGATAAAGCATTTTTAGAAGAATATACTACGATTTTCCGGGAATGGGAAAAATTGAATATAATTGAAATGTAACTGATAATGCTGAGACGGGACTTTTTTACCTCATCGGCCAGTAATTAAGGACAGTACCACTACAAAAATCAGACCTGTCTTTGACGCGTCAGCCCGAGAAAGTGGTAAATGCTCTTTGAATGACCTTTTGTATAAGGGTCCGAACTTACTAGAAATAATTCCAGAGATACTTGATAGGTTTCGAATTCCAATCCAGGTTAGGATTCAGATATTGAGAAAGCATTTCTGATGCTAAGTATAGCCCTCAACATAGAGATTTCTTGCGGTTTTTTATCCGTCCGAGAGTGAACAGATTGTTTACCGACATCGCAGAGTAGTATTTGGGTTAAAGTCGAGTCCATTTTTAGCAGCCTCAATTACACATTTATTAGATAATGTACCATCTGAATTTGATGCTATAGCACAAAAACTGAAACATTCTTTTACGTAGATAATTGTGTTTGGTGTTGCAAATATTGAGGAGCAGGAAGATTTTATTGTAAATGCAAAAGATATTTTGTCACGGGGTTGCTTTAATTTAAGAAACTGGGAGAGTAGTAATGTAAAATGTAAGTATGTTTTCTAATAGTACTGGTGTCACGAAAGTATTGGGAATTTTGTGGGATCTTGATAAGGACACTCTTAAGTGTAATTTAAACTTTAATCTTGTAAGTGAAGATCAGAATTTTACTAAGAGAATCATTTTAGCTACAGTTCACAAAATATTTGATCCAATAGGTCTGTTGAGTCCTGCAATCTTACCACCTAAGCTTTTACTGCAGGAAACGTGGAATTTAAATCTAAAGTGGGATACTACTCCCTTACCAGATAGTATTCAAATGTCTTTTAAAAGATGGTTTAGAGAAATAGATGCATTAAGAGATATCGAAATCTCACGTTATGTTGAAATAAATGATTCCACTGAGATGCATGTTTTCGTAGATGCGTGCAAAGAGGCATATGCCACCTGTATTTTTTTAGAACGAGAACCTCTCAAGGGGTAAAAACTTTGTTAGAGCAAAAACCAGAGTTGCAAGAAAGTAACGATTGGTTAGAGGTTAATGGCTTGCTGCATTGGTGCCAGGTTGGCATATTCAGTGAAGCAGGCTTTAAATGCCCATGAGATTAAAACAATATTTTGGAGCGACTCTAGGGTAGCTTTATACTGGTTAAAAGAACGTGGTGATTGGACAGTTTTTTGTCTCGAACAGAGTAAAAGAAATAAATAATCTGTTTCCTAATAATGAATGGCGACATGTGCCAGGGAAAATGAATCCCGCTGATCTGATTTCGCGAGGGAATTGTTAGAATCCTGCTGGTGGAAAGGCCCGGCATGGTTGTTGCAAGCAAGAGACAACTGGCCTGACACCGAAATATTGATAACGGAAACACCCGAACACTTGAAAGGAGAAAGGTTAGGTTATGTAATATTAATTTGTCGGAAGAGAGAGTCCCGTGGTATGTCATTAAATTCTCAAATTTCCATTCAATAGTTAGAATGGTTGCATGGATATTGAGATTTATCAGTAATGTAAGATCGCGTCATGATACTAGACGGGGGGGGGGGGAGAACTTCTAACGCAGGAGATTGAAAATGCTGAAATTCTGCTTATTCGTAATGTGCAAGCTCAATTTTTTCCCTAGTGAAACCTCTTTTCGGAACTTGTGTGTTTTCAAAGATGTGAACGGAATTATCAGAGTTAAAACTCGAATTACTGAACGCATAGATAAGCCTTTCTTCATTTCACCTATTCTTCCTGATAAATGTATCTTTACTCCAAGACTGATTGAATATTTTCACCGAGAAAACTGTCATGCTGGAACCCAGATATTACTAAGCATATATTGCGTGAAAAGTACTGGATTACAAGAGGAAGAAGAGTGATACGTAGTGTTCTGAAGGACTGTATTAAATGTCGACGATACAAAACTAAATCTCTCATCACTGAACCAGTTTCTTTACCTGCTGATAGAGTGGAAAATGCAGCAGCTTTCGAAGTAGTTGGTATTGACTTGGCTGGTGGTCCCCTATTTGTAAAACGTGGGGACAAAGTATGGATGGTTCTCTACACGTGTGCTCTTTATAGAGAGCAATTCGTTTATTTAGAGTTAATAACATCGCTTTCCACTGATGCTTTTCTGTTATCATTTAGACGTTTTGTTGCTAGAAGAGGAAGACCTAGAGTGGTTTATACAGACAACGGTACAAACTTTAGGGGAGCTTATAATAATTTTTTAGAAATTGATTGGAGTAAAATAACTCGACAAACAGAAATACAGAAGATCGAATGGAAATTCATCCCCCCCACTGCTGCCTGGTGGGGCGGATGGTGGGAAAGACTTGTTCGAGTAGTCAAAGAACTCCTTAGGAGAACATTGGGCAGAGCTGTTCTTACCTATGAAGAACTGGAAACAGTTATGTGCGAATGTGAAAGGGAGTGGGTAGTAAATTCGCGACCCTGACGTATGTATCCGAAGATACAGAAGACTTAGTTCACACTTACACCTGCCATGTTTCTGACCGATAGATCCAATTTAGATGTAACTGATATAGACACAAGTAGACACCAATCATCTCAGGAAAAGGAATCAGATTTCGTGCAAAATTAATGGAAGATCTCCGAGTACGTTTTCGAAAGGAATATTTAGGACTACTTATTCAGAAACGACAGCAAAATTCACACTTTCCAAATATTCGAGTGAATGACGTTGTGTTGATAGGAGATGATATCAAAAAGAGATTGAATTGGCCTTTAGCCAGGGTTACGGAACTGATTCCAGGAAAAGGACGGTAAAGTGAGAACAGTTAGATTAAGAACGCAAACTAACAATTTAGTACGTCCGATACAACGAGTGTTTCCCCTAGAAATCCAAGATGATGATTTGTCAGGTTCATCATGTCATCCAAGTGATCCTCAAAACATCAATCTGCTGTAAAGTCTTCAGATTCTCATCGTGGAGACGACATGAGTACCTCTCATCATTCAGAAATTTCTGGGTCACCCCGATCTCCGGACCCCACTGATGTTTCCGATGTATGTGACAGTTCTAAGACTATAAAGACACGAGCTGGTAGAACTGTTAAGATGCCACTTAGACTGAACTTGGTAGACTTGAATGTTTTGAGTAGCTATCCAGCAACTCAAAGGGGGGAGGATGTTGGAATGGCATCACTAAGCCAACGAATCAAAAGCCAGATAGAGACTGACGTCATGGGACGCCAGAGGAAAAAACGAACAGTTCCGGTTTAGTTAGCTAAGAACGATGTTTGCATGATGTGGCTAGATAGATATTGTAGCTAGATAAATATTTTATATTCTTTTAACTTGTCTTTATGTGTAAATAAATCTTTTTGCTTAAGTTTAAATGAAGTGCTCCATTTATGACAAGATAGTTGTTAATTGATCGGGTAGATGACTTACGAATCCCTTCTGAGCTAGCCATTGTTCGAACGTAACGCCTTACGTAACATAACACATACGGTTACGAAATCTTTTCCTCTTTACACTAAACTGCTTGCAAATCAGATCTGCATAACTTTCTGGAATGAGCAAATACGTGACTAAATGTAGCATGAAGAAAAGATGCAAGTTGAAATAAACTGATTAGTTAAAATGGCCACACTCATGCGTAAAAAATACTCGCGAAAGATGCTCGTAGTACAGTTTTTTTAAGTTTTTTACATTCAGCTTTCAGCTGAACTGTGAAGTCATATTAGCTCTTCATCCCTAAAGCAATTTCCGTCAGAGATATTTATTTCAGTGCTTTGGACAGCCCTGAAAACCTTAATGACTCTTTTGATATATCTGTTACAGATTGGTTGTTTTATTGTTTGGGATAGTTTGTAACGTCTGAAACGCTTTGTTCATAGATCTATGTTGGAAAACGGAAATAGAGGGTTCAGAGTATGAAACATCTACCAAATATGATGGTAGTGGCATGACAGTATTTTGTTTCTGAATAAAAAAAATCCAAGCTAAATTGGATTAAACACCCTTTGCTCACAATGTTACATAGCATTGAATATTGCGTTAGAAAGTTGCTTCAATTCTCCTTGAACTGTGATACGAATTACTTTGTCCTGTATGGTAATAATTCCAAACATTTCCTCTGAGTAGAATATGATAATATCCCGTAACAACAAAATGCAAACATTATCAGATTCATGCATTTGACTTTTCTTTGAAACCTCTGAAACACTCTTTTCAACCAACTCAAAAATGAATGTTAAGCATAGATTGTTAGGTGTCCATCTATTATCCTTATTCGATAAAAATGTGTTATCTAACATGCTAGTTTTAGAAAAAATCAACGTTATTCGATGGCAAAATCTGGATTCAAGTTTCATGTGCACGTGAATGGGACAAGATAAGAATCGCAACCGCCGAATGATTAACAAATTCGCCGCCTTGTAAACGATTTCTTCATTAAAGGCCAAGCTCTCAATTTTATAGCTACATTCAATGGCTTTGTGTTTCATACCGTCTACCAGACTAAACACACAAACTTGCTTCTGAAACCTGGAAACAACATAATTGATGGCTTCGGGGTTTTTGCTTTGAGTTTCTGTGTGACGTCTCATCTATTTGATCAATCATCACACTTCACATCACATCACAACACAGATCACAAACAGCATCATGTTTTTGTTTTATAAATTCGTACTCACTTGTAAAGAAAGCTTGAAAAGAACAAACATGAGTTTTTTACAGCGATTTAGCCGCTTTTAAGGGGACTCATACACCTTAAAACCCATAATATCTTCGAATATGTGACTGTTGCGAGAGTTGGGATAACTTATTTATTTTAAAAGCAATTACTTCCATCTTTTTACAGTTGATTACATAATATAGCTGCTTTCGGAAATAGTCATCAGACAGTTTGTGTTGCCACAAATATTTTTATAATTTAATCCGCTTTGTGACAAAAATTTTCGGTATGTTTCCACCTTGCCCGCACAGTTTAAAATATTCTATTACATAATTTAATTACATATTTAATATATAGCTTTTATAACATTTGGAAACTACTGTGAACCAAAAATTCTAAGAATTTCATGCTAAATTTTTATTTTATTTGGAGTTGAGTTTATAAAATATATTTTGTTAAAAAATTCTGTTATGTTTTCGTGCATAAAATTTTTTAATATTAAATATTCATCAGATTTTTGGTTCAGTTAGAAAATAGTGTCCATATAAAGAATTCCATTAAATTTCAAATATGTACCATTAGCCTTTTTTAAAATATCATGCGCGTAAGGTGGAAACATGATGAAAAATTTTGTCACAAAGCGGACTAAATTACAAAAATATTTGTGGCAACACAAACTTTCTGCCTACTAGTTCCCAAAGCAGCTATAATATGTAGTCAGCTGTAAAAAGTTGGAAGTAATTGCTTTTAAAATAAATAAATATCCCAATTCTTGCAACAGTCACATATTCGAAGATCTTAAGGGGGCTCATACACCTTAAAACCCATAAGATGTTCGAATAGGTGACTGCTGCAAGGATTGGGATAACTTATTTATTTTAAAAGCAATTACTACCAACTTTTTACAGCTGACTACATAATATAGCCGCTTTCTGAAATAGTCATCAGAAAGTTTGTGTTGCCACAAATATTTTTATAATTTAATCCGCTTTGTGACAACATTTTTCGTCATGTTTCTAACTTGCGCGCACAGTTTAAAACATTCTGTTTCATAATTTAATTCCATATTTAATGTATAGCTTTCATAACATTTGGAAACTACTGTGAACTTAAAATTCTAAAAATTTCATGTTAAATTTTTATTTTATTTTGAGTTGAGTTTATAAAATGTATTTTATTAAAAAAAAAATTTAATGTTTTCACTCATAAAATTTTTCAATATTAAAATATTCATCAGATTGTTGGTTCAGTTAGAAAATAGTGCCTATATAAAGAATTCCAACAAATTTCAAGTATGTACCATTAGCCATTTTTAAAATATCATGCGCGCAAGGTGGAAACACGGCTAAATATTTTGTCACAAAGAAGATTAAATTACAAAAATATTTGTGGCAACACACACTTTCTGGTTACTAGTTTCCAAAGCAGCTATATTATGTAGTCAGCTGTAAAAAGTTGGAAGTATTTGCTTTTAAAATAAATAAAATATCTCAATTCTCGTAACAGTCACATATTCGAAGATCATGAGGGGGTTTAAGGTGTATGAGTCCCCTTAAACCGACACAAGGTCAAAGCACACGGAAACACGCTGGCTAGAAAACTGAAAATCAGGATCCCTCTCTGTCGTAGCGCGTATAGGCCCGTCCACACGAGTACGCTCGAAACGTAGCTGACGAACGCGCTTTTACGTTACCAGCGTAAAAGCGTCCAAACGAGTACGCTTGCGAAGAGTGCGTTTAACCAATAGAATTATTTTGCGCAAAAATCACGTGACGCTGTAATATAGCGTCAACAGAGCTGTATCTTATTACTTCGCTGTTCTTCTGTATGTTTGCGGCAAGTTGTCCGAATCAGATGATTTTTTTTATAGCTGAAACTTTACTATTATGTGCAATTATTAAGCAGAGGCAAAACCAAACCGCAAATGGCAAGAATAGGTCCGAAAGATTTATTTAGAGCGACCTGTTCAAAGAGATTTTTTTTTTTTTTTTTTTTTTTTTTTTTTTTTTTTTTTTTTACTGCCTTGTTTGTGAAAGGAATATCTGGAATTATTAAATTCCTACTATTAGCTCACACTCTCCCTATATCTTGTTCAAATTTTCAGTACATAAAATGCTTTTTATTCATCCACTCAAGTTCAAATACAATTTTTTAAACTTGCAGTGAATGACACTTGATGTTAATACAGCTTTTTCACACATTAAAATTTTTTTAATTTTTAATTAAAAAAAATTATGTTTGTATTTTTATTTATTTATTTATGTTTGCATTTTTAAACGTTTCTTTGTGAACCTAAGTAGGAATTGACCTAATTTTTTTTTTTGGGGGGAAGGGGTATATTACTTGTTTTTTAATTCCTTCAGGATGAGTATCGACCAGTTTGACAGACTTGCAGATTCTATATCGTATGAAAATTAGGATTTATAAAATTGGTTTGGAATACAGTATATAAAGAGAATTAAATTACTTAATTCTCTTTATATACACCATCCACCATATAATAAAACCAACTTCATATTTTTTTAACTCGCTCTCCCTTGGTCTTTTTGAATTTAGAATGAGGTTCAAACTTTGGACAGTTTATGAGAAATTATGTGCATGATAAAATATGCAATAAAGTAAAAATAAAGAGAGAATTTATAGATGATATATGATAAAGAGATGCAGATATATTTTTACATAAGGATTTCTATTTGCATTGCACATTTTTAAACTAAATTAAAAACAATAATAATAATGAATAAAATAAGAAATGAAAACAATAATAATAGGTAAAATAAGAATACAATGAT